ATCTCCGTTTTCGGTGATTCGAAACGCCGTTTACGTGTGAATGAAACAGCTGCATTTTCAAAAATATCCGTGCAGGTGTGGACGCAGCATAAAAGAGTTAGTAGTTTATTTTATTACTACCTGTAATTTATTGCATATTACTTGTATTTGCTTAATTGTTTGCAAAATGTTTGAGGTGTGAAATAAACCGCAATGGAGCAAAATATGGGGGCGTGTGGTTGGAGGATGTGTGCATGTGCGAGAAGGCGGGGCGAACATTTTTCTTGTAAAACAAAGGGGGGCCCAGCAAAAAAAGTTTGGGAACCTCTGGTCTAGTGTAACATGTGGCTGGATATAACAAGCTTCACGTAGCAGTGAAGGTACAGTTTTTCTCTATGATAAATAAATGTTTGTGTAGTAAATGAAAGACGTGTGTGAACATGATTTAAAATGTAAACAATGTGTAAAATTACAGGAAAGGAAAAAGTTTCACAAAATTAATCCACAAACAATTCTTGTTGTTTCTCAGTGTAGTCCAACGGTGAAAACAAACAAACTCACACAGAGGATGATAAAAAAAAAGGGAACTTTTCTGCCATTTAATTGTTTATTTATGACTTAATTCCTTCGGACTATATGGTCAGGGTGGAGATCTTTAACAGAAGCTGCAAAACTTTAACAACACAATCCAAAGTCCAAATTTAATGCACTGCAGGATGTTATTGGGTTAAAAACTGCTAGAGCTGCTTATTAGTGCCCATAGACACTTCATTACAGGCAACCTCATTAACAGTGTCTGCTTTAATAAACACATTTGGCTTCATTAAGCAGCTGGTGGAAAAGCTCCATGTAACACTGCTGCAAGCATCATTTAACTCAAACAGTAATATACGTTTTTAAACAAATTGCACCTTTAACTGCATTTCCTTTTGTTTTCTGGAGGATTGTTTACTTTCAAAATGATTAAAATCACATTTAAGAAGCACAAAAGGCAAAATCAGCAACAAAAGAGACGAGAAAGCAATGAAAAAAGAACACAAACAGAAGCAAAGCATCTCATGAAAATGACAACTGGTTTAGATTAATTGCATTTGTACAGTTTTCTCTGTGTTTTTATAATTACTGGTGAGTTTACTGACAAATCAGAGGATTTTCAGGAAGTCCATTTATAGAGGTGAGATGTCAGGATTCATATCTGAATATTTTAAAACACCAAATAAATATACAGTACATGAATGTTTGTATAGAAAAGCCACATCCATGCAGAAGATTTGGATTCAATATGAGTATTGTGGTTAAAAAATAGCACAACACCTCAATTTCTTATGTAATACAAACTTTATTGCGATAAAAACAAACTGCACACAGGGTTTCCAGAATCACAAACAGATATATCGATCAATATCATCTGTAAATCTTTGTGATTTCTTTAAGATTTAAGATTTTCTTTCAAACACAAGTTAGAAAAAATGACAGAAAAACACAGAAGTCTGAGTGTTGGTGTATACAGACAGTACTGCACGATCGTGTTGTTAAGACATTGTGGGACCATCCAAAGCACAACGTTTGCATTTAGACGTAAGCTTTGGCGTCTGGTTCTGATTTGGCTGTGGGCGTGTACACCTTCTGTGGTGCATTTCCATAGTAACCGCTGCAAAACAAGAAAGACAAAGTCAGATTCTCAAAGCATCAACATCCCCAGACTGAAAATGTCATTTAAGAGCTCAACAATGAAAAGTAACGAGTGCGTGTTTACCCTTTCTTCACCGATGCTCTCTTACACGCCGAGCAGAGAAAAGCTCCGCCCAGCATGGCCAGACAGGCTCCAGCCCATCCCATGTAGAGGCCGGTGCCGAGCTCGAACCTGGAAATGACATGACGATTATTAACAGACAGAAATCAGCTTAAGGTCAAGGTAAC